GTGCTGGGGGATTGAACCGCGGTCCCTGATGCTTTTGCTAAGCTTGTTCTAAGTAGGTGCTTTAGACCACTGAGCCATCTCTCCAGCCCCGCTAAGCTTGTTCTAAGTAGGTGCTTTAGACCACTGAGCCATCTCACCAGCCCCTCTTTTCCAATATTATACAGTGTCATATATTTCAAATCTTTTGTTTCCAATCTAAAACTACAAAAAACAGTTCACACATCAACCTAAAACACAAATTATTTTACTTACAATTAAGAGCAATTTTTTTTTTTTTTTTTTTTTTTTTTTTGCAGAACTGGGGATTGAACTCAGGCCCTTGTACTTGCCAGTCGAGCAGTTATTCTGCTAAGTCATCTGCCCAAACCTTAAGAGCAAAATTTTTAAGGGGCCGGGGAGATAGCTCAGTAGAGTAAGTGCCTGCCTGGTAAGCACAGGGTCCCGAGTTCAATCCCCAGTACCACAAAAAAAAAAAAGGAAAATTTTTAAACAAGGCAGAGTGATCTTTTCAAAAATGATCAACATTCCACTGCCTATACATTAATCACAATGGTTACTAACCTCTCTCTTGAACTCTTTAACAATGTGTTGTAACAAGGCTTGGTCAAAGTCTTCACCACCTAAGAAAGTGTCCCCATTGGTAGATTTCACTTCAAATACTCCTTTCTGAATTTCCAGGATAGAAATATCAAAAGTTCCACCACCTAAATCATATACAGCAATGCTAAAAAACAAACAAACAAACAAAAAAAACCAAAATAAAACCAAACAGTGAAAAAAACCTATCACAAGGGGATGAATTTCACTAACCAATTGAGAATTCAGCTATTTTTCTGAAGTATAATTATGAAGTCTTATACCTAAGTGATATGGTTATTAGTAAATAGCCTTAATAGGTAACACACAAATATATATACAACTGAAATGAATTCATTTTTTTAATGAATTCAATTCTTAAAAATGACAATATTCAACCATATTTTGAAAGAATACTTGCCATCATGTATCAACAGAACCAAGATCTCAAAGTATATAGTGGAATGACCTTGAATGGGTGGGTGGTATGAGGGGCCAGCACTACAGATAACATTGAGGGCCTTCACACTGACATCCCAGTTCTTTTTTACTTTTAAGACAAGATGTTGGGGCCAGAGAGATAGCTCAACAGTCTAAGCAACTGCCTGGCAAGCACCAAGGACCTGGATTTGATCCTCAGTACTGCATGCCATGCCAGCCCCGTGCCATGCTATGCTGGCCACCAAAATTGGGCATGGTGGTGCATACCTGTAATCCCAGTGCTGAGGAGGCTGAAAACAAAAGAGGATCACTATGAATCTGAGCTTCTTAATAAGACCCTACACCAAATACATAAATAAATCTAAAAAAAAAAAAAAAACCCTAAGACAGGATGTTGATAAACTGTCTGGGCCAGACTCAAATTTGCAATCCATCTGCCTCACCCTTCCAGACCATGGGTTTACAGATATATGTATTACTGAAAATGTCCTGAAGAATATGTTATTTTTATTTAATTGAACATGTTATTTTATTTTTATTTTTGTATTTTAGGGAAGGGTCTACAGGATGTTCAGGGTCTCACTACTAGATGAGACTCACAGTGATCCACCTGTTTACAGTCTCCCAAGAGCTGGGATTACAGGCACACGCCACCACACCCAGTCTGAATTGTCATCTCAGCATACCCTGGAAGCGGGGCTGGCATGGCAGACCTGGCCCCTGTACCTGTTTGCAGGTGCTTTAATCCGCTGAGGTATTTGGCCAGCCTTTGAACATGTATTTTTAATATAAGTACAAAGCCCAATGAGGTGCTGGGAAGATGGCTCAGTGGAGTAAGCGCTTGCCTGGCAAGCGCAGGGGCCTGAGTTCAATTCCTGGTTCTGCCAAAAAGTAAATAAATAAATAAAAATAAAAAGCCCAATGAGTATAATACAGAGATGATAATTTAGAATCTCAATGGGGCAGGGAGATAGCTCAGCAGCATATGTGCCTGCCTGTAAGCGCAAGGTCCTGAGTTTGATGTCCAGTACCAAAAACAAAATAGAAGTACATCTCAGGGTTGTATGACCTTATTTCACACATTCCTTTAGAATTTTTTGCACAAACTTACATTTTGTCTTCAGATTTATCCAAACCATATGCCAGAGCAGCAGCTGTTGGTTCATTAATCACCCGCAGCACATTCAGTCCAGATATCTGGCCAGCATCCTTAGTAGCCTAGAGCAAAGACAAAAAAGAATGTTTTCATCCTTGTGTCTCAGGTACCATTTCTCTTTGTAAGAAAGCTGGCTGACCTCACCTGTCTCTGTGAATCATTGAAATAAGCAGGGACTGTAATCACAGCATTTTTTGCAGTATGCCCCAAGTAATTTTCTGGAAAAGAAAGAATGCAATTCAATTGTATTATACTAGGTAAAATAGCAAACAGAATTTTTATAGTCTAATAACCTGTATATCTTCTTAAAGAGTCATAAGTGATAACCATTAGTTGCTCAGCAAATACCATGTAGAGACCTTGTATGAACATCTCAAAGACACTGATTCAAAAATCAGTATCTCACCTTCTAATATTTTAGTGAAGATTCACAATGACCTTCAGACTTAAACAGCTACTAGTTTAAGTGGAAATTTTACTTATTATGGACTTAATGTGTAGCCTTCTGCCATTCAACACAGACATTACCCCATACTGCAAAAATAAGCCAAGCACCATTAGGAAAATCTGAAGTTATACAATCTGCATGTTAAATATACAAACTAGCATGTTAAATATGAAAACAAGGGCCAGCAAGATAGCTCAGAGAATTAAAATGCCTGCTTAAGGCAGATGCAGGGGCTGGGATTCGATCCCTGGAGTGTCCGCCATGCCAGCCCCACCCCCAGCACACACTGAAACTGGGAGTGGTGGATCATGCCTGTAAACCCAGCAATTGGGAGGCTGAAAAACAGGAAGGATCACTAGAAGACTGGTCTGTGTAGTGAGACCCTGTACTAAATACGTTAAAAAAAACAAAAAATGCCCCTTCCTATTCCTACTGTTTCTGTAAGATACCACAGTCACAGCTACAAAGAACAGGATATAGAGCTAGTAATATGAGAGGAAATTGCCCAAACTTGAATAAATCTACTGACCTGCAGTCTCTTTCATCTTCATCAACACAAATGCTCCAATCTGACTTGGAGAATAGAGTTTTCCATGAGCTTCAACCCAGGCATCACCATTGGAGGCACGGACAATTTTAAAAGGAACATTTTTACTGAAAGACAAAAATTAAGAGAAAACTGGCCAAAGCAGTAACTTATAGATCACAAATGGCTATTCTCCACCCCAAAAACACACAGCCAACAAAGGAAATCATGTAATGGAAGTACTTAGTATTACTAATGTATAAAAATACCATCACAATGAAATATTTCCCAACAAGGGGCAGTGAGATAGCTCAGCAGACTAAAGCACCTGCTTAGGTATACTTAGACAAGCTCAGAGCATGGTTCAATCCCTGACATCACATGCCATGCCCCCAGGGTGGGCTGAGCCAGCCAGAGTCTGGTGTAGTGGAGGAAGCCTATAATCCCAGTGCTAGAGGCTGAAAGCACAAGGATCACCACAAATCTGAGCTGCATAGTGAGACCCTGCAACAACCAAATACAATGATGAGGATGATGATGATAATTTCCCACCAAGCAAAAATTTTGCAGTTACTTTGCAAGCAGTCCTGCAGGTCCATTTGAGAATGAAAATTACCATATAACCCAGCATTTATCTCTATGGAAGAGAAGTGAAACCACCTTCACAACTTGTATATGAATGCATATAGCAACATAATGTCCATCAACTGACAAATGAACAAAGAAAATACATTTACCTGTACAGAGTACTATTTGGCCAGAAAAAGGAATGAACTACTAATGCATATTACAAGACAGTTAAACCTTGAGGAGCTGGGGAGATAGCTCAGTAGAATGAGCGCTGTCTGGCAAGCACGAGGGCCAGAATTCAATCTCTGGTTCCACCAAAAAAAAATAAAAATAAATAAATAAAATAAATAAAAATAAAAGACACCTTGATCTATTAGGTTAACTGGAAGCCTGTCTTTTAAGTCCCCATGGTTCATGTATATCTAATTTATATTCCATGCATACCAAAGCAGTTCAAAAAAGGAAAACCTAGGGCCAGCCAAATAGCTCAGTCCATTAAAATACCTAGAAGCAAGCACAGGGCGCCAGGGGTTCAATCCCCAGGACACACTGAGACAGCAAGGCGATTGAGACTGGGCATGGTGGCACACGCTTGTAATCCCAACACTTGGGAGACTATAAACAGGAGAATTGCTATGAGTCTGATCTAGTAGTGAGACCCTGAATACTCTGTAGATCCTTACCTAAAAAAAAAAAAAAAAAAAAATATATATATATATATTTATATTTTATGTGGTGCTGATTGAACCCAGGGCCTTATATGTGCTGGGCAAGTACTCTACCACCAAGTTGCATCACTAGACCTACTTCTAGTTTTAAAATACGAAATAAAGGAAAATCAAGGGTTCTTTCCCCCATATCTGACCAACATAGGATGCAAGTATGCCATTACCTGCCTCAGCATATATCACTTAAAATAGTCCAGGAATGCTCCCCAAATGTTATCATGTAAGTATGTAACAAAAATCTGATATACAAAAGTATAGTCTTTTTTTTTTTTTTTTTTGAGACAGAATCTTACTATGTAGTTTAAGGCTGGCCTTGAATTCACTGGGTAACCCAGGCTGGCCTCCAACTCATGTTGACCCTCCTGCTTCAAACTCCCCAGTGCTGGGGTTACAGGAGTGAGCCATGTGTCTAGCTTTTTTTTTTTTTTCTTTAAATAAAAAGGAGTTACCCTCTGGCAAGGGGATGGCTATCCTCCCAGAGCCAATACATAAAATGACCAAGCCAAGGATCTGGCTAAGTGCTAAAAGCCTGGGCATGGCCTTTATAAATAACTTTTCTGCTATTAACTCACATGTCTTTCTGTACTTCAGGATCATCATAGCGCCGGCCAATGAGACGCTTGGTGGCATAGAATGTATTGTTTGGGTTGGTGACAGCCTGTCGCTTTGCTGGCATGCCAACAAGTCGCTCCCCATCTGCTGTAAAAGCAACAACAGAAGGGGTAGTTCTGGCACCTTCAGCATTCTCCAGCACCTAAAATTCCCAAAGTAAGACAAAAAGTAAGATTCCAATTAGTGGCATCTTTTCAGCAGCTAAGACAGGACCCAAATAATAAAACAAATGCTTAAAAATAATAACTGGCATGCTTTACTACAGCAAATGCTGAATTTAGTTAATAACTACCATTGAAGACAAACATTTAATGTAGCTTGGTAATTTTAGTCTTTATTGCCACATCCCCAGTCCAAGCTCTTATATTCAGAAGGATTTTAAAAAATTTTTTTGGGGGAGGGTTTTAGCTCAACCTGCCTTAAGGGCAGGTGTGGTGTGGCATGTAGAACTGGGGAATGAACCACAGTCCTGCAAGCCTGACTGGCTTTGCCCATCCAGGCGCTTAAACAACTGAGCTAACCAGCAAGCACCCCTTAGCTCTTATGTTCAAACAATTCACAATAATAATAAATTGGGACTAAAACTACTTATCATCAGGTTTTTCAACTCAGTGTTTGAAAAAGTATCTCCTTCCATGTTGAGAACTGAAACTTAAAATCTGTGGTGGCTATAAATTTCAGGTTTACTGAAAAAATGCCAAAAAGCATAAATTAGGGCTAAAGGCGAAAATTACCTTGTTAGTACCAATACATGAGAAAACTCTTCTAAACAGCTCAAGTTATTTTAGAGGAAGTCATGGAGTTAAGAGAAGGCGGAATGTTCATGAATGGAAGAGGCAAGATTCTAAAACCCCGGGTGCTTTAAATCTTGCTAAAAACCCAAAAGGAATAAAGGTTTCATGTACAGAGTAAGAAGGCTTTATTCAGAACAGTCTTTATGTAGAAAATAGCTCTTAGATGTGGAATTCTGCTTACTCTGGCCTGAACCTCCCACTTGGTTCAAATAAGATAAAACTGCAGGACTTTGATTATAGTGCAAAACATTCCTATTCCTTCTAAAGGTAAATGAGTCTCTTCTCCAGCCCATGAGAACCAACTTAAATCGAACTGTGGGGCATCAAACACATTCAATTACAGTGGTACCTTTTTTAATGAACTTAATTCCACAGTTCTGGTCACAAACTGAATGGTACATGAATTGTGGAAAGAATTAAGCTCATAACCCAAGATATCACTATCATCACCACTTCACAAGTCCTAAGAAACCAAACCTAGTTGCAAGCATCATGGTACATGCCTATACAGTACTGTAATTCCAGCATTCTGACAGAGTCAAGAGGAAAATTTTCTTTTTCTTTGCATGGTACTGGGCCCTGAACATCTTCACACAGAGCTAAATCAATACCCAGGCCTATCTTGAGACAGGTTCTTTTTAAATCATTTTGTTGCCCAGGCTGGATCCAAACTTACTAATAGCTCACATGTCTTACTATTAATCTCACACTTCCAGTGCAGAGATTACAAATGTACATAATGACACTCAGCTCAATAGCAGCTATTAAATGAAAGTTAGGGTTCAAAAGCATGTAATTCTGGTTGGGTAGTAGGCACACCTAAGTGGCTCAAAGCTTCCAATCATGCTTACCTTTGCTTGTTTACCCTCCATTACTGCCACACAGGAATTAGTAGTACCCAAATCAATACCAACAACTGCACCCTTGATTGCTTCGGATCTGTAAGACATTTAAAATAATGCCAGTTAAATAATTTAGTAAGTCTCCAGAATGACAGATATACATAAAATACTTGATATACGACATGCTAGCAATACATTACACTGTAAATTAAACAGGTAATTATAAAGAAATAGTTAATCTACATGTAGAAACCACTATTCTGGGGTTTAGTAGGTATTGTTTCAAAGAAAATGAGGTTATACTTACGCATAATCTCTTCTTGAAATAAATCTAAATGCCTCATGACTAAAGCCATTCCAGCCATCCTAAAAGGAAAAAAAAAAAAAAAAAGCATCAGCCATCAACTACATGGGCTTGTCCCAATTCTTCTAAGGAAAACATGGCAATCTGAGTTTCACTGGGCTGAGTATGCTACCCAGTGGTTAATGTATAAGAGGAATTATGTACTGAAACAACAAATGTTTTTCAAATAAAGCAAAATTAAGTATTGTGTATATAAACTTTCCTTAAATCACAAGAATCTCTTCTAACCTTGACATTACTGATCTTGAGTCAGTTTTTGGAGTCTTGCCATGTTGCCAAAGCTGACACCAACCTCGTGATCCTCCTGCCTCAGTGTTCTAAGTAGCTAGAACTACAGACATGCTTCCCCACTAAGGCTTTTTTTTGTTTTTGTATTTATGCTACTTTCTAAGACCACCATAAAGGACTTAGTGTGGAGTACTGTTTTATGTATTTATTTATGGCGGAACCAGGGACTGAACTCAGGCCCTTGTGCTTGCCAGGCAAGCACTTATTCTACTGAGCCATCTCCCTGGTTCCTCCCACTAAGGGTTTTGAGGCAAACAGTTATTGTGGAGAATTGTTCCCTGTGTTGTAGAACATTTACAAGCAACCCTTGAGCCGGTGTGGTGGTACATGCCTGTAATCCCAGCACTCGGGAGGCTGAGGCAGGAAAATCGCTTAAGAATTTGAGGTCAGCCTGAGCTACTAAGTGAGTTCATGTCCAATTGAACTGTACAGTGAGACCCTAATTTTAAAACAGGCAATTAGCTATAAATTTTGGATAGTTACTTTAAAAAAGGTCTAAGTAGGCGCTTTCCAAAAGGATAAAAGCCTTTTCCTACAAAACCCAGGCTGCTTTCAAGCCTTCTGTAAGATTCACATGTGAGTAGGCAGGTCACATTTCCATTCTCCAACGATGTACTGTGTTTTAGATAAACGCCGCCACTCCACGACCTGTATTCTTTTGTAAAAACACAAGAAACGATCTTACACCAAGGACTTTGGGATGTCCCAAACCACGAAAATAGGAGTTGGAATTACAATCCTGACTTCTGTGGATGCTTTTCTTTATCTCATCAAAGCAACGGCGTCCTTACACACTCTATATTGACAAGAAAAACTACCTTCAAGCTCGTGTAAAAAGGAAACCTAAAGTAGAGACTCCCTCACAATACACTGCGTTGCTCTCCCTGTGGCCCAATCCATCTCACCAGCCAGAGAACGGACTCAGAACCGCTGCCTCTTAATTCTTTAATGCTCTAGACCGCGAGGTGTGTGACTCAGCAGGTCCCAAGGCACAACCCGAACAAGGCCTTCAGCTGGCATCATTAACTGCGAGAGATACACCACCTTCCTCACCTTTCGATTCACCGGGGAGTCTGACCCCGAGGGGGCGGCCAGCCTCATCCAGGCCCGACGCAGTAAAGTAGTTGAAGGCCTGGTAGTTCCTTACCTGGTGGCGGGAGATCGCGCCTCGGGAGGTCGCAGCGCCTATGAAACGGACTGCTGCGGCTCGACTGGCGCTTATCATGGCGGCTAGGTGGAGGGAATACGAAGGAAGCGACAGCCGTTTAGGTGGCCGTAAACCGTGCGACGCGGTGCAGGCAGCGCTTCTGGAACCCTCTAACCACGTGGGCTGAGGGGGCGGGGACTCCTCGCCGCAGTCCGGAGGTCCGCTCTTCCGCTGAGGCGCCGCCCGCTCCGCCTGAACAGAGACTACGCGACTGCAACTCCCAGGAACAGAGCGCCGACAATTTACTCCTTCGAATGATTACTGAAAAGACCTTAGTCTCTAGTTCCATCTGTGGAGGTTGTGGGATCGGTGAAATGCGAAGGAGGGAGAGAAGAAAATTCAGGCAACACTTAAGATAGGCCCGGTCCTTCGCAGCCGAAAGACTCAAGGTCACACGGGATAAACTGCGAATGGATTACGGTCTCCTTGCGTCAGTTGTGCGGGAGGAGGAGCCTATTGCGCTTGCGCAGGTGGCAGCTGCCTAAAGTGCCGTGTCGCGGGTGCTCAGGAAGTAGCGGAAAGAGCGTTGGAAGCTACAACCTTCATTGGTGTCCCTAAGCACACGCGAGTTTGGTTGGGTCTGTCGGGGGCGAGCCAGGGTGCGTCCTTACAGTGCGCGTGAACATTTTCCCTGCTTCCGGTCCGCGTGGAGGGCGCCATTTTGTTCTGGGGCTTTGGTAATTGCAGATGTCGAATCTGTCGCTTGGTGCTAACGCTTGTTCACATTTTGAAGTGTACTAGAGTATGGAGACTGTAGAAAATTTCGCGTAACATTTTACTAAAGGAGTAAATCTGTTACCTTCACTAGTCCACTTAGCACTCATTTTCCCCCAATTCCCTCAGGCCATCAAAATACAAACCCATAACCTATTCGTAGAGATTTGTATACTAAAACAATATGCAGGGCTGGTGAGATGGCTTAGTGGTCTAAAGCACCTACTTAGAACAGGCTAAGCTAAGCAACCGCGGTTCAATCCCCCAGCACCACATGCCAGCCAGCTCCGCCCCCTGGTGGGCTGAGCTGGCCACACACAAAATAAATAAATGTTTAAAAGTAAAACAATATGCAGATGCAAGAGACCATAGAAATGACAATAATATTAGACGTCGAAACACAGTGGAAATATTACAGATTTATTTAGTACATAACGGAGGGAGGAGGCGAGTAAAATAATTGAGGAAACCATTCTAACTTTTTTCTTTCCAGTTGTGCTGCTTTTTTCCTTCAGGCACTCTAAAGCCAGAGTATTTATCAAAAGGATCTTGGAATCAAGTAGTGTTATCTGAACACTCCTTAAGTTTAGAGTGTTGTGAGGCTCAGCCTGCATCTCTTGCGCTCCGCGGGCTGAGGCATGCAGATCCCAAGCTTAAGGCCTACCTAGAGGGCTACCTAGGAAGAGACCCTACAAGAAGCGATTGATTTGGTAGTTTCTCCCGGTTCTTTGTAAATACTCTCCATGGCCACAAGGGGGTGTGGTAGCTAAACACGAACCTGAGAAAGAAGGTTTTTGCCAATGTGAAATTCAGGCGTCTGGACTGCCTTGCAAATTAACATGGTTTGCAGCCTGAAGGCTGGAAAAAATTAATCTGATTCTAAGAAAACATAGGGTTCAAATGAGTAAGAATGAACAGTTAGATCCACAACCCAAGTGGTATAATTTACGCTGTACAGCACAGTGCTGTTTCATTTCACTGTTGCCATCTCAGTGTCACACTGGGAAAGGAAAGGTGCTAGAGCACAATTTGCACGGGGGTAAATGTTTATCAAACTGAACAGGTAATTGTCCAATATCTATGCATGCTATATTTTTAATATCCTGGACCTGGGAATGTAGCTCAGTGGTAGAGTGTGCGTTTACCGCACACAAGCTCTTGGGTTCAGTCCCCAGCAATGTATACACACACACAGCTTCTAGCTGGTATGGTTAATTTAGCATCCTTAATGACCAACCATAAAAAAAAAATTTCATTAGAATAATCATTAGCCAGACATGGTGGCGCACGCTTGTAATCCTAGCACCTTGGAGGCTGAGACAAGAGGATCCATAAGAGTTTGAGCCTGGGCTACATTGTGAGATTAAGGCCAGCCTGCACTACATGGCATGACCCTTTCTCAAAAAAAAAAAAAAAAAGAATCTCTAGTGCAGTGGTTGTTGAGTGGCTTGCACGTCCTAAATGTTTTATGTACATAATGTAACAGCCCATAATATGGCCTCAAGTAAATACTGCATTGTTTTCTTTTTTTGGTACCAGGAATGAAACTCAAGGCCTTGTGCTTACCGGGCAGGCACTTGTGCTGCTGAGCTATCTCCCTGTCCCAGTCTCAAGTGAATACTAAATTTTTTAGACAAGAAGACTGAGGCTTAGAGTGATTCAATTTGTTACCTGTAGTTACTTAGCAATTGAATAAGGCCATAGGGCCCAAAGAGGTAGCTCAGTAGAATAAATGCTTGCCTGGCAAGCACAGGGTCTTGAGTTCAATCCCTGGTACTGCAAAAAAAAAAAAAAAAAAAAAGCCAAAAGTTGAAGTCATCTTGTTTAAATCCAGTACCTTGTTATGTTGAGCTGTGGGGGACTCAGGTCAATAATTTCTGACACTGCCAGTTAAACAGAAGACCCAATGCTATTATGGGCTACTGGACTCTTTTAGAATATTTTGCTGAGTTTACACACCTATAATATTCAACAACACAACTTAAAAAAATTGGGATATAACTATGAATGTCCATTTTGTATCTGTGTATTCAAAGTGGTTGGGATAGATATATAGTTGCATTCTCTTAATGAATAGAATGATTTGTTCTAATGGTGTTTGCAAGTAGGATCACAAGTCTGCATCTTGTACAGCAATTAACCACTAAGAAGAATATATGCAGTGTATTATTTGTTGAAACTGTACTTTCGATTTGATTTGAAACTGTCTCATTGCTATATGTTTATCAATAAAACTTTGAAAAGAAAAAAAAATAACTTGGAAAAAAAAATAAATCCAGTACCTACAGTACTAACTACTAGACCTTTTTTTTTTTTTTTTTTTTTTTTTGTCTATTTGAGACAGGGTCTCGTTATGCAGTTCAGCATACTTAATGACCAACCATAAGAATAAATTTATGGCCTTGAGCTCACTTTGTAGCCTAGGCTTTAACTACCAGATTCGACTTCTCCATAACCAAGCAGGATCATCTTTTATCTTTGTGTTCATAAATATAGATGATGAATTTTTAATATTAGGCCAATCCATTAGTAACAGCTGTTATTTTGGGTGGTGGAGTAAAAAAATTAAAACTTTTTATATGTTGTTCAAGTGAAAATGCTGAGCTGGGAGTGTAGCTCAGAGGTGAAGTGCCTGCCTAACAAACATGAAGGCCCTGGGTTCAATTTCCAGCACTGCAACATAGTAACAACAAAAATGTTGGTGGAGGATTTGGCCTGTAATATAACTCCTAGAATCAGATTTTTGGGGGGGTTTCAAATCTGCAATTTTCTTTGTTTCTTTTTTTTTAGACAGTGTCTCCCTATGCAGTTTAAGCTGCCCCTAAACTCATTATGTAGCCCAGGCTGGCCTAAAACTTGTAGCCATCCTCTCTCCCCAGCCTCCAGGGCTGGGATTACAGGCATGCACCACCATTCCCCGCTCAAATTTATATTTTTAAACCATTTTTTTAAAGCACTGGTGACTCAGAAGACGTTTGATTCAGTCTCTCTGAAGATGAATATTATGCTGCAGCACCTCCTGTCTTCAGGGAATAAAAATGTAGCATACTGCAGGTATCTGTCACTTTTCTTGGAATTTTTCATGTCCCCACAGCAGATTTCAGGAGCACTCCCACTTTTCCTATTTTGCATTAGCTTTGCTGTATTGGAGTACTTTACATGGTATTGCTTCTCCCCAATCTGGTTCAACAGAGTTTGCCAGGATGACGAGTAGAAAATGTTATATTAGATCATGTCTCTGGCCCTAGGGTGGTGAAAATTAGCAGGTTTCATTCCATGCTGAATGCATAGTAACCTAGACAACAAACTGGCCTTTTTTTCTTTTTCTTTTTTCTTTTTTTTGTGTTTTAGGGAAGGGTCTACAGGGTATTCAGGGTCTCACCACTCACTACTTAATCAGACTCATAGTGATCCGCCTGTTTACAGCTTTCCAAGACCTGAGATTACAGGTGTGTGCCATCAGGCCCAGTCTCAATTACTGTCTCAGTGTGCCAGGGGTGGGGGAGATAGAGGGGTGGGGGGTTGCAGCAGGCCCTGCCCCTGCCTGCAGGCACTTTAATCCCCACCAGCCTTTTGAAAGGAGAAAAGAGAAACACAGGATGACCCTGAAAGAAAAGTAAGGCAGGATAAATCAAAATAAGATGTCACTTTAATTAGATTGGACATTTATATTCTAGTGATAATGTGGTCATATTGTACAAGGTAAAAACAGTCACTTTCACTCTGTGTTTTCATTCAGACATGGAAAATAGTAGGACAGATCAAGGATCCATATAAGAAGCTCATACTAGAGGAAAGAATGGGGCTGACAAAACCCAGGATTTGTTATTTATAAAAATCTAATTTTTGGGGGGCCTGCCCAGTAGCTCAGTTGTTTAAGTGCCTGCTTAAACAAAGCCCTCAAGCTCAAGCTTCTGTGGTTCGAACCCAGACAGTCACTGCAAACCAGAAATGCCCTAAAGGCATTTCGAGCCTCCAAAAA